AACAGCTATTTGTTCCATCTCATTAGAGAAAGTGGGTCCCAAGCTATCTTTAGCACTCTGCCTTTACTTCGGGTGACTTGCGCGCTTGCTGCACGTGTCCTTACTGAAAAGATGAATAGATAATCGCGAGCAGCCTGTTTCGATTCTCACACACGTGCATTCTTTGCACGAGAGACGCGTACTTGATTTTGGCATGAATCAGTTTTTAAACAAATTGATCGAGTTTTCTGCTCTAGTAAAGAACTAGTCTTTCGCGTGTTTTGTATTATGCTACGTTTTCATTTGCGTTCGAAGATACCGTCTAAATTTTATAAGAAATAATCAATATTTGAAAACGGTTATTTTGGAAATGTTAGTGGTTAAAATAAGCGGCTTTACATTCAAATACATCTATTATGTGTGATTTAAGACTTCTGTAGAAAATGTTTTTCTTTCTAACGTGTTAAAAATTGCAATATAGGGTCTTGTAATTTGTCAGTGAAAAATGTTTAAAAAAAAATCTAAATGTAAAAGAAAATTAACTTGGAGGTGTTTTATGATTTTGTAAAAAAAAGATAAATTATACATATGATTTAAATGTATGAAATACTGTTAATTTTTACTGACCAAATAACAGATATAATGGTTTGTGAGCATATATAAGGTTCTAGTGATTATATTGGCTACTACACCCCCCCACCCCCTCCCCGAAATTTAGAATAAAAGATTTAAGGCAGAAATTTTATCTTGACAGAAATAAAAAAAAACATGATCCTATCTGTAATTATTAGTACTGGTTGAATTATAATATTATTTGAAAGCTTAACATTGTTTGTGTGTTATTGTGACACTTAGTTTTTGTGAAAAATTTTCTTGTATGTGCCTTAAAATTTTGTAATGCCTACCTAATTTTTAGAATCTGTTTTATGTTAATTTTTCTAATATTTCTACCCTTGCAAAAAAAAAACTTGTCCATCAAGTAATGTTTGTTACTAATAACTAAAGGAAAAAAAATACTGTTGAATTTTCCGGATTATATTTTATAACTGTACTTTCAGTATAATAAAAATAATAATTAAAGAAAGAATAGTTTAAAATCAACTTAAAGAAATCTGTTTTGTTTATTTTATATTTTTTAAATACTAAAGTATATGTTCAATGTGTGTGAATTTTACTTTTTTTTTGATAAAAAAGATCAGTGTCAAAGTAGGATGTGTTTAAAGAAAATATGTACTGACTAAGTTATAAAACAAAAAGTAATATTTTTCTTTCTATCAGCCGTTTAGAAACAGAATTTATCAGTCGTTTTCCTTCTTCTAATGTGGAAGTCCTATTGTTTATTAAAATACTTAGTATTAGAGTAAATCTCTGTGATACCACAAGATATTATCCACACTTTAAGCTGTGGGTGTGTTATTAGAGTGACAGTCAATCCAATAGCATGGTTGATTAGTGGTAGAGTGGTGCTAACTGGCTGCCTTCCCTTTGGTCAGTAGCTTAAAATAGCTTAGTAGTTTTGCTATAATCCCATTGCCACTGTGGAACTGTGGGTAAATTACAAGGGAAAGCCAAATTCCACTGTTTGATTAGAGAAGACCAAGAGTTAATAGTAGATGGTTCTGCTGTCCTAAAAACTATGTTTCCTTTTTGTAATTTAAATTTATACGTGTAAACAGTCGTAAGATGGATTGACTGATGTTGCTACACTCATTTTTAGTATTCTTTTGTACATTTACATGTTCAAGTTAAATCTTCAATACATTTTCTTAAGAAATAACATGCCAATTTTCCTTATAACTGACATGCATAATTATTTGAACTCCTCTTACTAACCGTGGTTTGTTGTGATGTACATGTAGCTGCTAATGCTGTGTCAGTATGCCACAAATTAATAGTGTCAGAACTACTGCAACTGTTTTAGCTCAGCATTTATTTACTCTTATTAGAGATTTAAGCTTGCCTTTTAATATTGTACTTTGAATAAAAAAAAAGAAAATGTACATACATTACAAAAGCTTTAGCTGCATATCTGCTGGCATTAAGGAAAAAGATGTTTAACATTTTTGCAATAAAAGAATGTTCTTTTGACTGTTCTAGATATGAGAAACATATTATCTATTATCACATGTTATAGTAAGCACAAGTGGAACTGAGTTATGTGTCCTTGAATGGAAATAAATATATCTTACCATGCCTTAAACTGTTTTGTACTTGCCAGATGGTAGAAGAATAAGATACTCTGATTCTTCTGTGTCTTCTAGATTTTGCCTGTAAGTGAATTAAAACGTATATAACATGACAGAACAAATTAATGGTAGCTGTATTAGATGTATTGTTTTATGTTCCTAGCTACTTTTGAATGAACATAATTTCCATTTATAAAATTTGCCAGCTTTTTACAAAACAAAAATTTTCTTCATTTTGTAAAACCTTGTAATGACCTACTTAATGAAATCTGTATAAAAATAAAAAGATAAGAGACATCAAAATGTCTGAGTATAACAATCACTTTTTTAATATGAACTCTGGCAACTCATTAGGAAACAAATAGTGTTTTCATTTTGTAGAACCTTGTGATAAATTTATGTAAAAGAATAAATGAAAGCTGAAATAGTTTAGTTTAAAAAAAATTGTATGGAGGGTATTTAGAATTATTATTAGTTTAAAAGAAGTGGTATAGAGGATATGGAGAATTAATATTAGTTTAAAAAAAATGGTATGGAGGATATCTAGAATTATTATTAGTTTAAAAGTAATGATATAGGGGATATGGAGAATTAATATTAGCTTAAAAGAAATGGTATGGAGGATATTTATAATTAATATTAGTTTAAAAGTAATGGTATAGGGGATATGGAGAATTAATATTAGTTTAAAAGAAATGGTATGGAAGATATTTAGAATTAATATTAGTTTAAAAGAAGTGGTATGGAGGATATGGAGAATTAATATTAGTTTGAAAGAAATGATATAGAGGATATGGAAAATTAATATTAGTTTAAAAGAAATGGTATAGAGGATGTTGAAAATTAATATTAGTTTGAAAGAAATGATATAGAGGATATGGAGAATTAATATGTTGAAGAGATTTGCTCATTCTTCTGTGTAAGAATCAGATTCGTCGTTGTCATTGTTTATTTAGACGCTCTTATAATCGTTGATTGTGGCTTCGTCTGTTATAAAGTCAATACATTTTATTTTTTTAATTTGCTGAAATCAAATTTTGCAAATGTGACAAAGGTGTTACTTCTGAGTTTTAAGTTTGTCAGCTAGAAATGAATAACCCTTCAATATTTTGTCCTTTAGCAAAAGAAAATTCAAATTAAACCATGCTTTATAACCTCTTTTATTAAAATGTTATGAATAGCTTGTCATTGTTTGCTCTGTTTATATAATAACTCCCTTGTTTGTGAAGCTTACAATTCAGGCTGTTTTGTTTTCTGAGTACAATACTGTGGTAGACATTTTGCCAAAAACAGATGGATCTTGTTTGTTTACAAACTATAGTTGGAGTAAATGTTATTTGTTGGACACAGTGATTAAGAAGTTGAAGTTTTCATGTGTCCAGTTATTCTGACTCCTTGCCTCTCTAACTTCTTTATTCTCAGTAACTCTAGTAAATTTTTGTTTTGCATATTTTCTTTACACTGTATTCATTCATTGTCATATGGCCTAAAAACACACTGTGTAGATCTGGATATACCTTGAAAAACAGAGGGTAGATAGAATGCAGAAATAGATATTATGATGTGTGTTTTTTTTTTATGAAGAGTGCAATTAATGTGTTATAGACACACACTATAATGTTAATTTTGTTTTCATACAACATTTCTAAGACAACTATGCAGCCTAAACCTTGCATTGTGGCAAAATATTTTAAGCACATGTTGAATTATTATGTTTCCTTTGCCATCTTGATGATGTCACCGCTTCCTTTGTTGAGAACAGTCAGAAAAAGTTCAAACCATTGTTCTGTATGTTCATGATAATGAATTGAGCATAAGTCTGAGGTTTGTATATTGTTAAAAAAAAAAAAAAATTTCCACGAGCTTTGATGTGCTCATCACATTACATCAAATCTAGAACTTTCTTAACAAAACAATACAGAAGCTTAAATTAAAATATTAAAAGCAGTACATCAAATAGTTATGTTTCACAAATATGGTTGGTGATGGCAAAATATTCCAGTAACTGAAATCCTTATTTATTGAATATTATTGGTAGATTTATCATATTTAAACAACAGGTTTAAATGAAATACTTCATTATTTATTCAAAATAAACTATATTTATTAGATATAAATAAACTTTGATCAAGAATATTGTTAGCAAAAATATTTTTACCTAGCCTGATCTGATGTGTTTTAATAGGTTGATAGTAAGAAAAATGTGGTAATGAAAATCAGTGAAGTTGAAATTTTCTGATAATCAGTTAAAAAAGATTGAAATTCTAAGATGAAAGGAAATATTTACAACGTTTTTTTAAAACACTGTCTAGAATTCTAGAAAATCTAAATCAAATTATATAACATTTCTAAGTCGAAACTAGATACTGTTTGATAAACTTATACTAAATTTCATGCAGTTTGATTAAGTTTGTTAACAAAGAGAAGGTAAAAAAATCAGTGTCTGCCAAGTGGATCAACTAAACTTGAGACGCAGCATGAATTAAGTGATCTGTTATCCCATATAGTCATTGTCATTGCATCAGAAACTTGCAGGGATGGCCGAATAACTGGATCCTCACCATATTTTTTTAGGCCTTCTTAGGAAATCGGGTTCACTGTAAAAAAAAATGTTTTTGTTTACAATATGCAAAGCCCTCCATACTAGTGCACTGAAGTAGAAAATAGGATGTACTTAATTGTAATAAATGTGTTTTTTTTTACAACCCATAATTTTGTTGATGAGAGAGAGAAAAATGTCATGGCTGATTATAAATGTATAAAGCATTGTAACTATATTCTTTCACGGCTATTTTTTTCTTCCAGAAGGAGACCCAGGATCCTTAGAGAATGGACTGTCTTATGAATGTAGAACCTTACTTTTTAAGGCATTTCACAACTTAATCGAAAGGTAAAAAAACATAATGTCTAGATGATGATAATTTATTGGTTATGTAGTTGATTCCTCAAAATCTGGATCATTAGATCCAGTTCATTTTAAATATTAATTGATAGTTTTCTAAAATTTATTTATTTGCTAAAACATTAATATAGGTTTTTGTTCATGTCAGGATTTTAAATAATTTAAAATAGTTATAATAGTATAACTGAAAAAAACAGTCATGTAGTTGTTCCTATTACACATTTATTGCATTATTCCCAACATTCAAGTATAATTACAAGTCTGCCAAAAGCAGACTTATTACATAGGAATCTGGCACAGTCAATGATTCTAGGTTTTCACAGTTTATTTTGTGTCCAGTTGACATGGTGTGTTCTACAATGGCTGAATTTTGTGTTTTCGTGAGTCTTGTACTGTTTTTATGTTCTTTTATTCTTTCCGTTTCTCCACTGAATGTTTCATTGCAGGAACATGGAACTTCATAACGTACGTTTTTCATGTTTCTCATTGGTAGGTTTCTGTTTGTTTTTCACCAGAATGGATCTTAATGTCTTGAAGGATTTCCACTAGATATCTATGTTGAATATCATGGCTGTGCATTTGAGTTTTTCACTGATATTTTGTAGATAGGGGATGTAAGTGGTAGTGTTCTTCTGATCTTTTCTTTCTGTTGTGGTCTTCTTCATAGAGTTTTTGATGAAGAAAGGTGTGTAACTGGTCTGTCTAAAGCACTCTACGATCTTTTGGCATTCTGTTTCAATGGATGTCTTATTGCAAATGTTTTCTGCTCTTTTGTTTAGGCATTGGATTATACCACGTTTTATTGAGGTTGGATGATAGGACAGGAAGTATAGGAATCTGTTTGTGTGGGTGGGTTTTCTGTATACAGTTTGGTGGTTTTTATACCACACCACAGAAGACGAAAGGCAGAAGACTTTTGAAATGTTGTCCTCTGCACTTGTGTTTCTACAACAGGCAGTTACCATTCATTCAACTAAATTTCATCAGTGGCTGTATTCATGAACTGATACAGTTCAATAAAATTTTGTCTTTTGGTCTGCTTAAACATCTCTTGAAAGTGAAAGTTTGTGTACAGTAGAGGACCTGTGGAACACTTGTCAAGATATGTAGTGTAAGGTTAGCCTTACAGTCCTTCAAGGAAGCTCATTACAGTGTAATTTGTAGTGTCAGGAAGTAGTGTGTTATTATGGCTGTTAAATATGATCAGTGATTAATGAAATATTTATAAGGGTAGGATGGAAATTAGGATGTTATTACGTATGGTTAGCTTTAGTATTTGCAGTTTAAAGTTATCAAGCTGCTGTGTTTGCTTGATTGAGGTATGAGCCTTGATTAAATTGGGAGGGGGAGCACACACTATGTGGTAAAAGCAGAGAGCTGCTTCTTTGATCTTGAATTTCCAGAGTTCAGTTGGTAGAGCATTGCGTCTTTGTTAAACAGATTTTTATCAAGTTAGTGTACCTTTTGTTCAAATTTATCATGGAACTTTTGAAGAGTAAATAAGCATTTTCTGATACTTGATATTCAAGAGAATTTCTAACAGGTTTCATTATAAGTTTCACCTGTTTTATATGTATTTGAAATGTAATATTTCCATTTAATCCTAGAATGCCAGCATTAAATTTTCAATCATTAACACCAAGTGGTATGGGGTCATAGTGACCTCAAACTGGCATTCTTGGGTTAAGTATATCAACTTCAGGATAATAGTATTTCTATTCCACTGATCTTCTTATAGTGTGTATTTTCATCCATTAGAAAGCAAGTTCAGTGCTGCCCTCTATATGCATAAAATGTTTTTGCATGTCACAAGCCTTGAACTCCCACGTACCTTACAATCAACTAGTTCAAATGCATCTTGCATGTAAATCATCATGCAACAATCCTCCACCAATAAGTAGTGTGTGACACTCTTCTGACACATGTGACTCCCTCTATTCGATTCTACCAAACTATCACTTCTTGTTTGGCAGTACTTGTGTCAAGACGTTTTTGTAGTGCACATCAGTCATGTTTTTTCTTTTGTTTAACTTCGTGATTCAAGGTGAATTTCTTCTGTTTTTCAGCAGTTAATGACTTTTCAGATAACTTATTTTCCCAGTTTTTTATTTTTTCTTTCATCATCAAACGATTGTGTGTGATTTTAATTGTTAAACAATGTATCCCAAAGGTCAGGTTACCACTTCGGAGATAATATTTTCTACTAGCTCACTCACACAGGCTACAAGTGGTGATGACTTGTCTCTGGACTTATCGGCTGTCATCCTCAGTGAGATTGATCATTATACGAGTCAGCCTGCTTCTCCTGATCTTGCCCCTATTCCTTCTGAACATGTCAAACTTGTTCGGGTTGACAAGGATTTTGATACCCTTTTTCCTCCTCCTGATTCCCTACTGTGGAATCAGCGAGGCCTGATATGGCTTTTTTAGACATGATTTCTCAAGTTTGTTCTATTTTATCCATTTTCCTGATTTTGTATCATCCCTGTCCTCCTTTGTTACATGATACCTCCTCATCTCAGAATTTGGTTTATCTCCCCTTCCCTGGATATTTGGGTTCATGCTGAGTATTTTGTTTCTCATATGGCTGATGGTGCCAGCATGCCTCTCCCTCCGTGAACTTCGAATCAGTTTGCCTTAGTCTACCATCAGGCTGAATGTCTGTTTCTTTGGTTCTCAGCAGATAGAATCGATTTTGCCCGTGTGAGGAGCGGACACTGATCATCCTGTTCGTTTATTCTGAGCCCAATTTTCCAACCTTTGTCTTACCCTATTGACTCTCCTATGGTACTTTTATACCATCCACCTCCTTTCTGAGACAATCCACAGAGATCTTGAGGGGTTTTCGAGGGATAGCCTCTCCCTGATTATTTCCAATGTGGGACGCTTGTTTTGTTTGGCTCTATCCTTACACATGTTGTAGGGATCTCCTGGGGAAGGATACTGCTTTGTCCCAAGTTCATTTACTGCCTACTTATCTCCAGGGGCTTACGTACGGCCCCTTTTGTACACCAGTGTGTTTTTAGTAATATTCTTGAGACTTTTGAATCCCATGTGGAGTCAGTGGGACAACAAACTACCCTTTCTTCTTTGGTGGAGCGTTTGTCTCATTCAAAGCCTACACATGCCCCTATTACTGTTCCCCATCCAGCTCCTTCCCAGCCCTTACCTGTTCCTACCTCCAGGGGTTCCTCATCTGGTCATTTTATTCGACGCAGATGGACGCATTGCCAACAGTACAAGTGTCTACCCAGTGGAGTCTCACGTAACAATTTTTTTTTCTCCCTTTAGTGACTTTTTCCCACAGATCTGTGGACTATTTGGGTATTATCTGAGGGACTTCTCATCCATTTTCTTTTCCCTTCCTTGTCTCGGATACCTGTGTCTTTTCTATTTCCTCAGGATCCTACCAACAATCAACGGCTGTCTGTGGTGGTACAAGATCTTATCTCCCAGCAGGCCATCAAACCTGTCAGTCATCCTTCTCCAGGTTTTTATTCAGGATGTTTGTAGTACCTAAGAAAACCAGAGACAAGTGGCTCTGATTGATATGTCCTGCCACAATCAATTTTTGGTTTTTCCCTGATTTACCATGGAGTCTTTTCTCACCCTCAGGTGGGCTTTTTCTCCAGGTTTGTGGATGACCAAAGTAGACATCATGAATGCTTACCTGCATGTTCCAATATCTTGTCAGTCGAGGTGCTATCTTCAGTTTGTTCATCACAGGGTAGTTAATCAATTTTGTGCCCTGACCTTTGGCTTGCTTAGGCTCCATAAGTTTTTCGTCAGGTGATCAAGGCTTTCGCCCAACATTTGCATGATTGGGGGTTGTGCTTTCATCATTACATGTACAACTGGCTTCTGTTAGTTGGTTCCAAACAGGAGTTCACCCATCATACTCATCTGCAGCTCATGTGGGTTAGTTAATCGAATTTGAGAAGTTATTCCTTATACCTACCCAGTATCTTGTCCATTTAGGTGTCTTTTTCAACACTCATCTTAGTCAGGCCAAACTTTCTCTTTGATGGAATTTTCAGTTCTTTACACCCTTAACTGCTCCCTCTCTCACAGCTTGTGAGGTTCTATCACTTTTGGGGATGTGGTCTTTCATGGAAGCCCTTATCCTCTTTGGTCAAGCACATATGAGGTCTGTTCAGTGGACTCTGCATGACCAATGGAATCTTGTGTAGGATCCATTGGAAGCTCCTACTTCCCTTCCTCCTTCCCTTGTAGGCGATTTGCATTGGTGGTTGGACAAGGCTCACATGTCAACTGGTGTTCTGCTTCCTCCCCCTTATCCAGATTTGCATATCTTCACACATGCTTCCTTTCAGGTCTGGGGGGGGGGGCATGGGTTGATTAGCAGGAAGCTTCGGGTCAGTGGTCTCCAATGGAAAGATCTTACCATATCAACATCCTGGAGCTTCTGGCTGTATCTCGTGCTTTAGATCACTTTCTACATCTTGCCAGGAATTGTCGGTCATGATCTATTGTGACAATTCTATAGTGGTGGCTTATATCAATCACCAAGGCAGCATGCATTTTCGTTCCCTTTGTGGTTGAACCTTGGAACTCCTTTTTTGGGCCCACACACTCAGTATTCATATTCTTGCATGCCATGTTCTGGGTGCATTCAATCTTGTTGTGGATCGTCTTTCCTGTACTGACAAAGTTTATCCAATAGAGTAGTTTATCGATCCTCATGTTTTTGAGTGGTTATGCCTTCTGTGGGGTACTCCTCACCTGGATGCATTTGCCACCTCCCTCAATACCATATTACCTGTGTTTTTATCTCTGGTTCCTTATCCTCTGGCTTTGACTGTTGATGAGTTCAGGCCACTTTGGACTAACAAATACCTGTATGTTTATCCTCCCACCTGTCTATTCCACAGGGTGATTTCGATCATCCAAGCCACTCCGTGTCAAGTTTTCTGATTGATCAGTACTGGCTGGCACATCCACGGTTTCCGCAGCTGCTCTAGTTCTAATCAGCCCCTCCTTTACCTCTTCCTCTTACTCCATCCTTTCTACATCAACCTCAGTGACAGACATTTCATCCAGCCCTTCATGTCCTTCATCTTCACGGCTTTTTTTTTATCTTATCTTGTCCATGGCAAGGATATCTGGTTTGTCCTGCCACGCTCGTTTCTTTTTTTTAGCTTGTTCCATTCACCCTTCCTCTAGTGATGTTTATCAATGTAAGTGGAATGTTTCTTGCAGTTTGTCTTTGGGACAAGTGTTTTACCCTTCTCGACCCACTGTTCATCATATTATGCATTTCCTCACTTGGCTGTTTGATCAGGGGTGTACTGTCTCCTCGATCACGGGTTCCAGATCCTGTAAAGTTTTACCTCTCCCACCTTTTCCCTATTTTCACCTCAGCGTGCAGTTCTTCCAGATTGGGATGTGAATGTGGTTCTTCACTGCTTCCATTTGAACCTCTGTCCTTGTACTCAATTTTTCACTTATCCCTTAAGACTTACTTCCTTCTCCTATTACCTTGTGGACATCATTGTTTGGATTTATTTGCCATCAACATTTCACGTACTCTATATCATTCAACATATATTATCCTTTATCCAGATTGATCTTTCCTTCCCAAAACCTCAGCAGCTCTGGAGGTTAATTCCTCCTTCCATTTCCCACCTTTATCTTTGGTCAGATCCGGATAGGCAACTCTGTCCTGTTCGTGCTCTTTGTTGTTATGTTGCTCCATGGCTTCCTTCTGTTGTGCCTGTTTCTGCCTATTATTCATTCCTTGTGCAGACATCCTCTGTTTGTGACTTTTCTCTTTCCACCCTGACCAATTGGATTCAGCTTTTAATTTGATTGGCTTATTCTTCCTTATCTTCTTCTTCCTGTAATTTGTTCCAGGTGTCTTCTCATCAGATCAGGCACCTTACCTTTTCCCTGACGTATCATCTCCATCATCCCTCAGAGGAAATTCTTCACTCAGTCATGTGGACTACCCCACATACGTTCATATCTCACTATCTGCATGGACTTCATGAGAAAAGCAGAAGGGAATAGCTGCCAATCCCTGCCATGCCTTTGATTGAATAAATAAGGTATGGTCTGCTTTTCAAAATAGGGTTTTTGTGGTCACCCATTGCACTGTCTCCGGTGGTGAAATTCCTCTGGACTCTACATCGCATTTCCTCCCCCTTTTTCTTTCAGTAGAGTATGGGAGTCCTTACCAATTTCCATTTCCAAGCCACTGAGGTGGTTGACCATAGAGGCATCCTCCTGAATGTAATAATGATATATAATCCTGATAAAATAATGATTAAACTATTCATTCGAGAGTAGGGCAGTGGTGTTCTGCTGGTGTAGATGACACGATGTCCTCCAATCTTATCCTCATCTCTGCACAAGATTATCTGAGAGAATGATGTAGCTTTGGAGTGAGCAGTCAAAATTACAGTTCATCCCTTTGATTGGGATCCCTCATCCTTCCCCCACATGGATGTTGATTCCCAGTGGCTGGGTTTTGGATTCAAAGTTGAACCAATCAACATAAGTCCTCACACATATAATATAGGTGTCTCTGTTTCCTTACTTTCAATTTTACTTTTGTTTCCTCCACCCGTGTTATGGGTCATTGTGGTGGAACTTGCAGATTAATATGGTTCTTCCTCTTATGCTATCCCTCGATGTTTTTCTTATATTGAGGATGTTGTTGCACTGGGGGGTGATTCCTGTAGAAATGGTTTTGAGTGGGATAGTTTACATTACAGAGACATTTTTATTATACCGATCGCTCGGATGTCGGGTTTCTGGATTGGTCAAACAATTTATCACATTGCTATCATGTGTCCCATTTATAGATCGGGGGGGATACGAGATCCCCTACAGTTTGATGAACTTGAGATGGTATGATCTTCTTTCCTACCCCACCAGATGGCTAGGTTTTGGACTGAAGTTGACTTGCCTTTGGTAAGATCCTCTTTCTTACCCTCATATGGGTGTTGGTTCCCAGTAGCCAGCTTTTTGATTGCAGTTGACTTACTGACGGTGTGATCCTCATCTCTCCCTCCAACTGGTCCCTACTCCTATTCAATGTGGGATTCTAGCTATTTATATGAGTGGAGGTAATGTTCTGTATCGGAAGTTATAACTTTCATCTACTGAAAATATATTTACGATAGATATCTACCTTCTCTCACATTTCTCACTCTTCATCCCCACTGTGCTTCCATTTACTGCCCAAACTCAGTAGAATCGAATAGAAGGAGTAACATGCATCAGGAGAGTGTGTCCCACTCATATTGGTGTAGGGTTGTTACATGAGGATTTGCATGCAAGACTCATATGAATTAGTCTATTGTAAGGTACATGGGAGCTCAAGGCTTGTGACATGCAAAAAAAAGTTGTTTGCATATAGAGGGCAGCACTGGATGAGAATAGCTATTTATGTGAGTGGAAGTAAGTACCTATTGGAAATATATTTTCAGTATAGGAAAATTATAACTTTTGTGAATTGTTTGATTATGTTCTTGATGAATGAAAACAAACAGGTATATAGATCACAAAAAGAAACTACTGTAGGTTTTAAAACTTTCATATAAAATTATGTCAAGTTACTTCTAAGATAAATGCTTAATAAAATGGTCTGTCAGTTGAAAAGGTAGAGCAGTAATTTTGTACTTGTTTTCATCATATTGCCATTTTTCAGCTGTATGTTTAGTCTTACAATTATCTTCTATATGTTAGATGTCTTCTTTCTCGAGGCTTTACCCGATTAGGAAAATGGTTCATTCAGCCACTAGATGATCGAGACAGATTGAGTCACAGGTAAATTACTTTTTGATATCAGATAAACTTTAAGTTCTACTAGAGTTGACATTCCCAACGTGGGGTACATTTGCACTTCTCAGGGGGTACATAGGGGTCTGAAAGTATAACTGCGGTTTACACTTTGCATGATGTTTTAATCTAGTCAGACAAAGAGAGCAAAGTGGTTCGCATAAATATATGCTCTTCAGACAAAAAAGTTGTGATCATGGTGAACGTTATGATGTTATAGCTGTGCTACATTATAACTCATGTTTTCAATAAGTAAAGTAGAACATAAGCAATATAGAACACCCTCGTTATAAATCAACTGATAAACTAGGGATCAGCCAACTGGGCACCTCTCGTCCCTCCATTAGTACTTTAGGAGAGAATGCCCAAAGGGTACAGAAGAACGAAAAGGTTGGGAATCTCTGTACTAGAAAATAAGCAGTTTTGTGAAAGATTTAAGCACTAAAAGTATCACAGTTGTTATTTGCACTTTAAGATATGTATGCTACCGTGTAGAGATGTTGATGAGATATATTTTGTTTTAGCTGGCACGTAAGTTAGTAGAAATATGGGAATGAAACCGGTGCTTTTAAAACTTTTTCATACATTTGCGTGAGAGTGAGTTAAAATTATAGAAATTATATTTGTTTTGCATACAAACATTTTTATCATGATATGAAAAAAAAATTTTTGTGTTAGGTTGAAATAGGATCTGTCAACAATTCAAATAAAAAATCTATTTTTTTTTTTAACTGTATAGATAGCTTTTGTTAATGTTATTAAGGTAACAAAAATGATGTATTTATTTGTAGACACTACATTTAATATTTGTCTTCACTCTTAGTCCCATAATGTATGTATATATATATATATATATATGTATATATATATATATGTATATATATATATATATA